GGTTGATGTGGCCAATTTTAATATATTTGCTAATTCAGGCAAATTTACAGGAGATTCTGCCCCAAATTATTCAAGCAATTTTATTTTCTGTTTCATAATGATATGGAACACATAGACAGAAAAGTCTATTGCTATAGATCATATGCTATGTATTGGTCACAATGTGAGTTATCATACATTGAGTAAAACCACAATGTCTATGAACCATTTTTCTGTTCTCTTATTTATTGACAGATTTTTTTAAAATTACAACACAATGAATTGATGGTAAATACAGAAGATGCAATAGTATAAAAAGCCATTTAACCCTTCCCTAGGTTAAGACACTTACAGCAGACAAAAACTGCCCCACCCCAACTCCCCTCCTTGAATGGAAATGAAATAAATATAAATTAATAAATACAAAACAAATCACTGCACAGCCTTTAACTCTTTGATTGCCATGGCAAGAACCATGCTGATGATTCTAGCTCGTGACATGTGTAGTTAAAGGTTGCCGCAGCAGTCAAAGGGTTATAGTGTTGTAAACATAAGTACTTTGTGAAAATGTTCAGTCATGTTAATGGTTCTAAAGCAATGAGATTAATAGCATGACCCCTTGACCTTTAATGACACAATATTATAAGGACTTAAGAGAAAATAGCTTTGTGAGCTGTTACATAGACTAATCAAACCATTTTATTTAACAATGTGCTATGAGGCCTTGATTCACTAATAAAAGACAACTTGTGAATAAACACTGTTCAATGAAATCAATGAAAAAATTAATTTAAGCACCACAAAATTTTGCCTGATTATATCTGACAGTCATAATACACTTTAGCACCATTTAATTAGCCTTGTATTTGCACACAAATGAGCTTTGTGTTTGTCGGTAGAAGCCATCTGGAAAAAAATATATGTATGTATATATTATATATATGCCAGATTTAAGATGGCGGAAATGTATAGAATCCTGTGTGAGCAGAACTCACAACTTAGAAACCTTAGAACTCATTTCAGCAAAAATGCATTATTTCATTCCTTGCACATAGAAAACTATATATTATAAAAAACAAACGATGAAAGAGTATAGAGTGTAATGTGAGTTATCTGGATACTTAACGATAGATTGTAATACTCTCACCTAACTCAAACATCATGAGGAATTAAAATATTTTCAACCACAAGATAATGGCCTAAATTTTTAATTTCCTGGTGTTTTTCTCTCTGCTTCACAGTTTAGTGTTATTTAAAGCAAAGTCTGTATTAATTTTAATTTTTTAAATTTCCCATAATCACAATATAGGAAGGAAAATGATTTTTATAAGAAGCTATAAAATGTATAACATTTATCCCAAAAGGCAACTTTCCTTTGCAATTACTTGCATTTCTCTTGGACTCTGAAATATAAATGTCTGTGCAATTTCTTTAAATATATGGTATTTATTTGACAAACTAAATTCATAGGAGCTTTCTCTCCTTAGTCTATCTAGTAAACATATATATATATATATAAATTATATATACTATGTATTTCCAAATATATATTACCAGATAGATCACAGGCATGTCACAAGTCTTTATTCATTATCATACTGATCCGCTACTGGAATCAGGATAATGTTAATACAGGTATACAAGTTCTAAAACATCTTAAAGATAGGTAATTACACTGATGAAGCAGGTGAATTCTTCAATGTCAACATTATTACATTTTATAAAATCGACAAACCATAAACTAATTTGATTTTGTTTTTGTTAAAAAATGAAGCTTATTGAAAGTTATATTAGCGCAAAATTGAACTAGTAAACTCCATTTATTTCCTCACTGTAATTTCAAAACAAGACATATTTGCTTAAAATTAGATACCAAAAACAAAAAAATCTTTCAAGACTTGTAAGGTTGAAGTGAAGCAAATTTTTATGGCCAACTCTCTAAAACCCCTGAAAATCGAGGTCCACCATAGAAATGCTGATGCAGTCAAAACCAAAGCAGCAAAAGGCTTCAGCTGTAATACTCCTAATTCTTTTATTCTAGCTCTCTTTCTAGTATATATGTAGTTTATATGTAAAAGGAATAGATCAAAGAATCAAGGCTTTAGACATTTATGTCTCCATGTACTTTAAACTGAACACTATATTATGGTATTCACTTTACTGTATAATAGTTTAAGATATACTCTCCAAAAACAGATTTCTTTAGCTGCCTTATCAAGAGACAACAGCTACTATACTCAGCATTTCACTTTTCCCTAGGAATAGCTCTATAAAAATTAGAAACTAATAAAAGATTCTGGAACATGTGAAGTGTACAAGGAATAAGTCTTTGCATGAAATTTTTGCAGGAAAATACTGAGGAGCAAAGACATATTTCCTGGGAACTCTCTGATGAACAATGCTGTTCAATTCAGGTTAACCCTCCCTACCATCTTATTTTTGTGTGACAAACAAAAGCAAACAAATAATGATCTCTGATCAAAATAAGTAGAAAAACCAGGCATACACTCACCTTTGTTCGGAAACTGTATTGGTTTGAAAGTAAGATTGTGAAATTTTGTATTTATGAATACAGAAAGGAATAATGGACTGCATAACAGATAAGAAGTGCATGAAAAAAGGACTAAAAATTCAATTTTATGCAAGCAATTGTATATACTGAAGAGCTGTGAGAAGACAGGAAAGAGAAATGTGGCCTCGGTGATATTCCAATGAGAGCAAAAAAAATTATGACACTGAATGAAAGATAATTTTGCATCACATAAAATCATTCATTCAAGCAAAGTGTGTTTAATCTCAGATACTGGGCTGTTGAAATATAGAGAGGGAACAAGTTCAAATTGGCATCACAGGACAGCAACAAAACATGCATCCTACTGACTTCTTAAGCAAATAGCTCACACCAGGCTTTATTCATCCCAATCTTGGCGAAACAGGCCAATGTAGCAACATACATTCATATAGAAAGTGCCAAATACAAGCAGCACCAAGTCTTATACTAGGAAGAAGCATCCTACCATGCAATCACATCTGACCAAAGCTTCATCATATATGAGGCATGAATAAAAGTGCCAGTGTCCAAGAATACTACGCCTGGGATTCATTCTAGCTATAGTCCAAGAGCTACAGAAACGTCTCAATGGCAGCTAATGCTTTTTTCCATGGGTAAAAAGAAGTGAATACAATAGTCAATATACATCTTCATTAGTCAACACATTTATCATGTCATTCTTGTTCACCATTGTCTTCAGTGTTTCTAGTTGAATTAAAGATTAATGACCTGTCACTCTGAAGCTGGGTGACCTAACATGTTAGAATTGTCATATTTTCATATTTATATTTAATTAATATTTCCCCTTCTGAATAGCATATAAATCTAGCTTTATTGCAGAGCACATGGCAAAGTTTTGTGAATCAGCACAACATTCTAGTTTATGACATTTGTTCTAACACTGTCCAGTATGCCCTTTAATATAAGGACACATTGAGTAAAAATTTTAATATTAATATCAGTCTTAGTATAAGAAAAGTTTGAAGACATACTGCTCCTTAAATTGAAAAGGCAAAGACTCCTTTACATCTCCATGTATAAATGTGTTTCATATATAACTTTTTGTACACATCATGTGCTGACCATGAATTACTGGTTGTGCCCTTATTTCTCTTGAAAAGTACTAGTTACGTATGCTTGTAAAGACTTTGTCATAGCACTGTTTCTTGCGGTCTTATATTTTTACTTGGTATAAAGAATTAGCATTGTTCTAAAAAAAGATGCATGTCATGTCCAGTTCTTTATAAACTCATAGTTCTCTTCCAAACTAGAAGGCTATTATTTTTGTCTTCTACCAGATGATTGTCAGGAATTTCATAGTATCGCATATGTTTTTCCTTCAATTTCTGTAATATGCCAAATCAGCATCATTTTTTAGGCTTTCTATACTATTGGCTTAAATTTCAAAGTAGATGCATACAGAAAAAGATGTTTGCAATTGGACATTATTAATCTAACCTGAACTATTTCAGAATCACTTCAAAGTTACATCAATGGAAAAACATGAGAAATTACTTGAACGGTATGTTAAAGTCAAAGGTTACAACCAGAGGAGGCTAGAACACAAAGGCAACTTTTTTGCTACTATGCCAAGTGTTTTGTATTATATGACTATTGAGGTAAACTTCTATCCTAAGGAATGGCTTTGCTCAGGGGATTCTAATATTATATACCTTTTCAATTGAGGTTACAGAACACCTACTTCTGATATTTTTTGGTCAAGGCAATGCATGAGCATCAGATATGTTTAGGAAGATAATATCTAATGACCACTGGCTAAATATATACATTGATATATCACTAGTGAGAAGAGTTGGAAGGTGCATTTTTCACTATTTTATACTTGCTAAGGTAAAATTCCCAGTTGTATTATTAAAGAGTTCTAGAATGTATCTTTCCATTTTATGACTCATTTCCTCCTCCTCTGCTTTAGTTACTTTTATTAAATATTTTTCTTTCATATTTATGTTGTGATACTACCTCTTGTTGTTGCTTTATTACATAAAGTTCTAATTTTAAAAAGATAATTGCTTAAAGTTTTCTGATGTAGCTATGGCTGCTTTTCAGGCAAGATGGAACCCATAAGGTAGATACTTGTGTTCTGGTACTCAATTCCTGTGGTCATAATAAATCAGTATCACGAAGGTACATAAAATCCAATGGGATGGTTAGATTCTTCAGTATGATTTGACTTGACACCTTTTGTGATCTCATGTTTTGACTGAGATTGTATTTATAGCTATTTGTAAAATGTCATCTGAGTTTAACATTTTCGGTTTAGATGGCATGTTCTGTTTGACATCTGTGACACTTTGGAATATGCTCTTAAGAACATAAAAATAAATAAACTTTTTGCTGTGTTTGCTGAAAAGATCTAATCATCATTCACAAGATTGTTTTAGTATTTACTACAATTTCACAGACTCAAAATTTATCAATAAATCACGACCTTTATTAGTTTTTGGAAATAATTCCAAAAACTTTTTTAAAAGATCATTTTCATGACTCTTGTTTAACAAGTCTATTTATATATAATATCCATTCCTCTTCAAACAGCACACTGAGTTTAGTCAATAAGGACACACTGGTTATTCTACTGGAAGAGCCACAAAGCACGGGTCTGTATTTGTACCATATTTAGAGATATCAACACAATATGTATCACTTGTAAATATTACATGATTACCCCCAGGATTCAGTATATACACCATCATTCATATATTGGAACTACCAGTGAAGTTTGGGTAATGTTTTTACCCATTATATTGTGTTTTAAAATCACACAGAAAGGAAATAAGTACATAGTAGATGAAAAGCCAAATTAGGTATCAATAAGAAGATTAGAGGCCACTTGACCAATAAAAGTAACATTTGCTTATTTCAGTAAATCAGCCTGTACCCTTTCTTACTTAATAATTTTTTTATAATCATTACTTAGTAATTTATTACATATGATTCAGAAAAGTCTTAGCCTCTGATAGCAGAAGTTATAATGTTCTTTATTTTCACTCTGTATTCTTTGCAATTATAAAAGGCATTTATATTCACTTGTGATGGCTGCCACGTGCACAGATGTTTTGTTCTGAAATGGGCCAATAGTTAAATTTGCAACCTTTTTTAACGATCTGGTGTGAAATTACTGCTTTCCAGAGATTTCAAGCTGGTTAGCTATTTTAATATTCCATTCAGTTCAGTTAATAATGTACAAAAATAATATTTCATTAAAATTATAAACTATATAATCACTTTATGTAGATAACTATCTGGTTTAAATTTGTGTTTATAGTAGATACTAAGAAATAGTAAAACACAAATTGTTTTGTGTGAGAATGAATGTGTTTACATTTTCTTTGGCAAACCCTAGGTCTTATCTTTTATATTACTTGTGATGAGGTGATGAAAAATGTTTGGTAAGTGCATCTCTCTACTGACACTGAACTGATATAGTACATTGTTGACCCAGGTAAATTTATTCTATATTGTTTTTTCAATTGTTATTCTAGGTCAATCAGTTACTCTTCCTTTCACTATTCTCTTAGGATTGATACTTTTTCCAAATCTCACGTGGAAAAGGAGGCAGCAACTTTACTCACAAAGTGCCTGGTACACAATAAACAAATGAAATTCCAGTGTTTGTGATTATATTGTAATTATTATTTTCTTTTTTCTTGTATTCTTATAGTCTGATAAACATCCTAGGCAAGACAGCAACCTTATAATCTTTTTCTTATCACATAAAATTCTTCTCATATTCAAGTAAATATGATTCAAAATTCAGTCATGACTTTTACCAGAATTCACGCAAAATGACAGACACCTTCTTTCTTAATGCTATGATTATTTTCTAGCCCTTATATACTTACAGTCTTGTGATGAATCAGGATACTGTGATAAATGAATAAAGAGGAAATAGATTGCTTATTTTGTTTCTCAGTTTAGAGAAAAAATGTTTTTCAATGCAGGTTGATGGAGTTCCTCGATGATTTGCACATGTCCCAAAATGACACAATTCCTCATTTCTATCTTTAGCAAAATATAGTCTTTTTCTTTCTTGACATCAAAGTCCTGAAAGGATTAAACCCTCCCACAAGCAAACACTACATAAACAAGCTTATATATAAACTCCTCTATGCTCAGCAGCAGTGACTAACTCTTTATAATACCAGCATCATCTAGAATGGAAGCACTGAAGTAAAGCTACAGGGTTGATTCTGGTTCTCTCTTCTTGCTTTCATGGCCCTCATATTCATGATCTTGGTATCTTGTCAAAGTACAGTCCGCATTGCATAATGTTTTGCTGTAAAGTCACTCCTATTTTCTAACTGTTCTTTTTTTTAGTTCCTAGGCTTACAGTATGCTCAGATTGTAAGAAATATCAATCTGCAAGGCTTTCCAGCATGCCACCCATGATTAGAAAATATTTCCCCAACCAAGTCATAAACATGTAGTTTAACCAAAAGGCATTCTAGTTTTCATGCTATGTTGAGTATAAATATAAATTCAAGGCAGCCAAACTATCCATTTCCAAATAAGAATGTATACCTACACTCATTAAAAATCATCTGGAAATGTGTATTATTAGCAAATGAGTAAGAAATTTTCACTAGTATAAAATTCCTGCTTTATATAAAAGCCACACTGGCCATTCAAGTATTTGAGGTTTTTTTCCCTATAGTTTTTTTATAATTTGTACTAAAATGATGAATTTAGGCTTGAAATCATATGAAAAGAAAGTAAGAGTCACTTCTACCTATAGGGCATTTTTGAGTGTGCATGTAAGGAGCAAAGTGTCCACCCGCAGATACACTGCCAACACCCTTCCTCTCTCCATTCTAGGGAAACAGCTCATGCTTACTCGGTTTTAAAGAACAATTCACCATCCGTCAGAGAAGCCACAACAGAATTTCTTCAGTTTGTGCCAGTTTGCAAGTTAAAGGTCAAAGGGTAAAGACAGAACAGGACTCTTCAGGAAAATTTTCACAGAAGACAATGTTTAAGTTGTTGTTAATGACAGTCAACAGATCAATAATCAAGTTCAAGGCAAGCTGTTCATTGTTTCAAAAGCTAATCCCCTCAAAAGCTGGCTTTCACACAAAGCCAATGTCTGACTCATGGGGTGCATTCCTTCTGACCATCTCTAATAAGTTCACAGCCCAGTGGCTGTAAAGCCTTTCACTGCAAGAAGCAGCTCCTAAAAATCAATAAAGAGGTCTGTCAGTTGCTGACTTTTCTCTAGGAAAAAAATATTCATACAAACCTGCTCTGCAGGTCACATGAAAATGACAATACTGTTGTTAGGACAAATTACACTCAACAATGAAATGCTTTGGTGGTCTCTTGGCTGTCAGTGATCAAGTGGATGGCTAAATGCCAGAAGCCACACTAACCCTTTGAGAACTATGGTTGACATGCAATAGGTAATGCACTGAAGGACATTCATGCAATCTCAGAGTCATCATTTTAATTCATTTTTAAATGGCAATGTTAACTGCACTGTACCAAGGCAAATTCAATTTTCATGCAATGGATTTTAAAATAAAAATACAATATATCTAAGGGGAAAAGGGCTTAGGTTATTATAACCAGTTGTTGAAATAAAGTTTTACTCTTATGAGATACTGTTAACAAAATATCACTTTTATTTGCCAGAAAATGTTTGGCAAGTAACATCATTTCTGTTTGTTATAAATGCATTTATTTAATGCTGTAAATCACCCAAGAATTACATGAGATCAGAGGATATGTTATAAAAGCCGGAACTTCTTCAATCTGTGATTGTTTCACCATTGCCTAGTTCTAATTGGATAGTAAGACTCTTAAGCAGGTCTGATAGTTCTCAAAGGGTTACACCAATGTGTTACGAGAGTCATCGATCCTTGTAATATGACTGCCACTTTAATCTACCTCAGAGACATAATGCTTTTTGCTCTGCTTTGTAATGAATATTCCTAACAGACCCATGAAGGCCTGGGGCAATGGCCTAATACAACCTGGGTAGGTTATCACAATGATGTAGGGGCCCGGTGGCAAGAAGGGGTTTAGAAACACTTCAAAACAACTAGAAGATCCTGTCGGAATACACCTATGAATATAAATGTAATGAAACAGTGAGGACATAGCTGAGAACAGCTGTAGAAAATGAAAAATGGATGTATTATTAAGGCTGTTACTATATTGCAGATATTTTGGCCCCTTGTTTGTTGGAAAATGGCTGTCCCAACAGTCTGAAGTCCTGCATGTGCATTCCAGGTCTCCCACCTGACAAAGGGATGCGTGGGAGACTATCCATAGCAGTCACAGAGCTATCTTCTTTGGAGACAAAGCTGTTTTGGGTCTTCACACTTTCCTGAAAGTTCAAATGCGGAATTTTTTTTTTTCCTTTGTTTAAAGCAAAAAAAAAAAAAAAAATGTGTTTTCTGTTTTGCTTCTTTTTATTTTTTCTCTCCCAGAAATGGGCTCAGACTTCAGAAGGTAAATAATATTAAAAACGTTTAAGAAGCATCTTTTCTTCTTTTTTATTCCTCTTCTTTAAGTAATCCTGAAATCTTACTGGGCATTGAACGTGCAGAGGAAAGGCCTAGAACTGCATGACAAAGAAAGACAAAGGACTGAAGAACAGCAGATACTGTGCATCATGGAATCTTCCCCATGAGTGTGTCTCCACTCATGTGCAGGACCAGCAACCCTCTGGTTTGGAAGGTCAGCCCCGAATCAGGCTGCCACAAGCCTGCTCCTAGCTAGGAAACAGCATAACAGCTCTTGTCTTGAATCTCAAGTTACCACAAACTTCTGGAAAAGAAAGAAAGAAAAAAAAAAACCCTACATCACACCCACTCTTGCATAGAGCGTTTACAGTACAGTATGTGGCGGGGTGTTCCTTTCCTCTTGAACTGGAACACAGTGTAAACCAATACAAGGAGGCATAAGGCCAAGATGCAGGGAATGACAATAGCTATGGCTTTCACAGTGCTGGCTGTGTTGTCCAGTTTGATGACAATGTCTACATCGTCTGGTGGGCTGTGTCCTTCTCTATCTCTGTCTGTTGGTCCGTCACAACCCATAAAATCCTTGAGGATGGATCTTGGATATCCAGGTTCTACCTTGAGTATCTGGTTGTTGAATTTCCAATACTCCTTTCCTTTGTAGAAATATGTAAAGCCTGGTGGGAAACACAAACGGATAAAATTTAGTTGTGGAAGTGTGCATGTTTAGAAATGTTAATGAGATAGGCTTCTTAAAAGATGTATCATATGAAAAGTTGGAAATGATGTGTTTGTAAAGGGGGAGGGGAGGAGGGGGTGAAGGGAGGGGAGGGACAAGGAGGAAAAATGAGAACCAAGACCTGTCATGTAAAGGTACAAGATTCCCAACAATGAATGTAACTGTACTGTATACCTAAAATGTGCAAATAAACTCAATGCGGAAAAAAAAAAAAAAAGATGTGTCATAAGGTGCTTCAGTTTTCACAAGAAAATACTATCAGTTGTTTTACAGTGATCCTGGCTGCTGTGTTCCAGGAATTGTGTCTTCTAACACCAAAGGAAAGCTCAGCAAGAGGAGGGCGGAGAAATGGTATCTACAAGAGACTGGCACAAGATCAGTTCCTGTGCAGCTACTCCCACTCTGCACTAGAAAGAGAACTTTATCCTTTTTCCTGGCTTACTGGAGTGCTGTCACAGAATCACACGTTAGTGTGATAATATCAGCCTACACTGAAAGATGCTGAAACAGCTTTATAAATTGAAACAGTGTTTACCCTCAGACTGCCACGGAGGACATTGCTCAATACATTTTACAAAAGCTTCTCGCTTCTTTGTACCTCAAGGGAAATTTCTCATCATTTTAGTACCAGGCATCCTTGTGCTGCTCTTAAACAACAGATTTCCTTTTGTCACTTGAACAAGAAATCATCATAAATCATCAGACAGCAGGTGTTTGGTCTGCTAGGAATCTTAACAAGTAAATAGATACTTACAGTATTATATGCAATAAACTCATTTCTGGATCTAGGACATGATTATTTTGTCTCCTTTATTTAACTTATTTACTTAGTTTATGTTAACTTTTTGTCAGCTAGCATTATTTTTTAGAAACAGTAGAAGCAAATCTATAAGGTTAATTTTAATATTTCTAAGTAAGTTGTAATTCATGGAGGATAACATGGTCTGGCTCAAATAGCTCCACCGTGTGTATGTTGTTTTGATATACTATGACTGCCTTTATAATGTTCTAATTTAAAAACTCCAGATATATGAAATTTCTAGGATGGTTCTTCCATTTTTTTAATCACACACCAAGTCTTTCTGTACATTGCTCTTTCATGAAAGTTGGTTTTTTGACTATACTATTTGGTCTTAATTTTTTGTTTTATTGCAACACCAATAAAATATTTTAATGCTGTAATTACTTAAAAACTGTATTTGAAGAGTTGTCTATTTTTATTGAAAGGGATACTTAAGAGCTCATAATCACTAATGAGGGTTTTTTTTCCTCTTTTCTTATTGTATTGAGGATTTTTGGGAAAGGCATAGTGTTGTAAACTTACTATATTTTTTTATTTCTTTTAACCCTCACAATCACTGTATCAAGGATAATTAATTACCCACTCTTCTAAGGCAAATGAGGCGCAGAAAAAAACCAAAAATTTCCTATAGTCTGGTGAAAGCAGGATTTAAATCTTGGTCTACATCTAGAGCCTAGAAACTTAATGATTTAGCTAGTTTAACATCAAAAGTTGCAATAGATGTAATGCTTGATATAAAGAACTGCGAGGTCTCACACGAAATTTCAGAAAGCTAGGTCATCACTTCAGGCCACCTCGTCTTGGAACTAATTCTTTTCAATGCCATAAAAAACTGCTATTGCTTTTAATTTCAAAGGATAGTTTTGTAACTGGAGCAACTTGCCAAATGAAAACAGGTGCGTGTAGATTCAAAATTTTCTGCAGGGAGCTGGTATTTGATTACTCTAATGAAATCCAATGTAATTACTCAACAAGCTTGGATGGAGACATGTTGAGGCCCTGCCAAATAACAGCACATTAGATGATCATAGTTGAATGAAGGCATTGATTTACAATTAAACAAATCTTCAAAATAGGTGAACATACTTTTTATGTGTATAAACTGGAAACTAACAGCTGAAAGTGTACCAATCTGCAATTTTAAGCCAAACCTAATTGCTACAAAGCTACTAGGCATCATGCAAAAGTTAAGAAATTGTCACTTTTATTCTTATCAAGACTGCAGGCCAAATTTTGTAGTACCATGTTATATATTGAAAAGTAGTATTTATAGTCACTGAATTCCCTTGTTAAAAATTAAAATCCAGTCAATATGAGATAATGTATTTGAAAATTCTGAAACTATAAGTATATCTAATATTGATCCTGCAAAATCCATCTTATTCAATAATCCTGTCTTTCTTCATTTATGAAATATTAGTTGAAGAAATATTTAGGGAGTTGCATTAAAAAAATAAAATAAACAGCTTTACAGCCAGTGATTTAGCTTGTGGTGTTGTCTATATATGTTATGCTTACAAAGAAAAATTTTGATGGCAGAATTCTATAATTCCACATATAGTACTTGGAAGGTTCACACTGTGAGAGTGCAAGTTCAAGTCTAGCTGGGCAGCTCAGTGAGATTTTGGCTCACAGTAAGAAATAGAAGGTGCGGGGCACCCCTGAGTTACATCTGTAGCACCCATCTCATCCTCCCACACAAAGCAGAGAATATCTGAAAGAAAAAGTAATGAGACTATATTGTGTTATTTGATGTATGTTTCTCTTACATTTGGTCCTTACAGACTACTTTCTATGTTGTTTCATCCTAAAAATGCAATGAGACAGTCCACCAGAGTTGTCTTATTATAATTTAATGGATGTTTTCCAATGGTAGTGTGCCTTTTGTTCTGTTTTCTGCTCTTACATATTTATTGGTTAAGATTAATTAGCACTTAATAAATCTTAATGGATAAAGAAAACTTTGTAGAAATATCTATGGGAATAAACTTCTAGATTTTAACAGAGTATGAGCACTGAAATGGAGAATTAAAACACCAAATAAATAAAACTAAGAATTAAAACTATTTTAATAGTTTTTTAAAACTATTAACACTGGAATCTTATATTTTCTTCAAAATTGAAACTGGAAAGAGAAAAGATAGACTATTTGAAAGGTGTGGCTTTATAGCAATTCATATAAAACTAATTGAAGGAGGAGGTCATTCTTCATCTGACTTTAGTACAGTTAAAGCCCAGAGAGCTGTTCAAGAAACACAGATATCCCACTATATTCTGCATAAACTAATTGTGATATGAATTACTGTAGTTATTTGGGAGAAACTAAAAGTAAAGCAGAAGAAAGGCAAGAAATACATATAAGGAGGAAAACAAACAAATTGCTAAATGAAGATGGTTCCACTGGATGGCATGAGGAGGGTGGCTCAGAAAGCTGCACCCTGTGGGTAAGTACTGCATGATTAAATAACAACTGGCACCAAATATACTGATTATCAGTTACTGTTAACAATACATCATAGAAAAATAGTTTTATCTTTGGAGAGCGTGTATTAGAGAACCTTCATTGGGGCTAAGATATTCTAGTTTCAAGAATTAGGTATGGATGTTACTAATTTTCAATTAGGAGTGAGGTATATAAACTGAGTATTGATAAAAAATAAATAAACAGTGTTGGTAAAGAAGTATTTATATAGAACAGTTAAAGAATTTATGTAACAACTGATACAAAGTAGACATTCAAATGATACCAGATCATCATGTTAATTCCTTGACCAAAATGACAGAAATAATATTGTAAGGTAGACATTATAGGGAGGCATATTTCCCTTTAACATGAAAACATACAAATGTATAATTTGAGTGTCTAGATTTTTAAAAAAATGTTCTCATTGGGAAAAGATTCCTACAACAATGGATTTCATAATGTTAGGTAAGTAAACTACAAAAGATGTTTCCTTATTCCATCCTATTAGATTTTATGATTGACAAATCATACACAAGTGCCCTTGTGACTTACTCTTAAATCATTTTGCACCGACTTTAGTCTGATTGTATGTACTGGGGATCTTTCTTGTCTGCTAAAACTGTATGCTAAAGAATACATGAAAAATTATAACCCTTAAATCTGTTATCGCCACTTGTCTTTGTGCCTCAGCCTGCACTGATATTTTCCTCTTGTGGTCAGTTCCTTCACCATGTGTGTTTGTTATTATTATCTCCATAGGATTTTTAATAGAAATATAGATGAGGTTATCACAAATGTATCCACACCCTCCATATTAAAATATTACCTCTTGTTTTAAATGATTTTTCAAATAAACTTAAATAAATTGAACTTAAGTAACATCTAGAGCATAATGGTAAATGTGAATCTAGGTTTGTTTATATATTTATAAATATTTATATTTTTTAATAAATATTTATATAGCTATATAAATATTATATACCTCAAGTATGGCACTTTCCAATGATTTCATTTAACATGGTGAAAAAGTAAAATGTTTTCTTAAAGTCGAACACGTAATAAAATGTCTAAAGTACCAAATGCATACCATTTTCTTTGTGCACAAAAGCTCCCTGAGGAGATTCAGGGATTCCTTTCCAGACTGTGATTGGCTTGGGATAGCCAGGGTCCATGGTTTTCATTTCTTCACTATATCGCCAATACCTGAAAAGGACAAAACAACAAGAATACATGCATAAAAAACAATTATGTATACAATGTTATAGCTAACATTCATCAAATCCTTGCTTTATGCTTTTTTATAAATTAAGTTTAATGATACATTTTATGTATACAGTATGGTTCCATTCATCATTGGTAACTTGTACCTTTACATGATTTATCTTGGTTCTAATTTTTGCCCATTTCCCAGCCCTCCCTTCACATTCTCCACCCCTCCCTGTTTACAAAGATGTTTCCATGTTTTTTTCTCTTTACATATTTTTTTCTTTTCCCTTTTTACCTTTCCCCTACCCCTCCCACTTCCTCTACTCTTTTAAAACTTTTCTTCCTATTACACAATATCAGTTATACATTTTGATCCTTATTTATGCTTTTAGTTTTTCATATGAGAGAAATTTTTTGGTATTTACACACTGCTACCTGTATACCTGTTGCTGATTTACAGAACTGATTTAAATCACTGGAAAGAGAGTAGACTGAAATCATTTACTTTGCTTTCCAGAGAATGATAATAATGTAAATGTTATTGAACATACCTTTTGTATACTAATGTGAGCACTTATTCAGTCTGCTAAAATTGAAAGATGTTAAGTACAGTATGCTGGGTATATTTACAATTCATAAGCATAGCATCAACCCACAAATATTCTTGAACATTGTATCTTGATTTTTCAAGATATATGACTGAACAAAAGAGGCATGTCCATCACTCATTGATCTTAGATTTTAGGATATGTTATGACCCACATTATAACCTAATGCTTGAATAAATACTATGATAGGAGATGATATCTATAAAGGAAGCAAGTCTCCCATACATCACTTTGTCAGGTGGGAGATCTGGAATACTCATGTAGGACTTCAGACTGTCTGGAAATAGGTTGAAGGGATTTTATATTAGTAGACAGACAAATCTTCTTTGATAAGCTGATGTGAGCAAGCAGTGAGGAACAATACACATAGTCTTTGAGAGAGGAACATCTTAGGAAGAGGATCTAGCAATTGAAAGTTCCCATCTACCAGAGACTAAGGTGACTAGAACTGAGTTAGTAGATGGGGAATCAAGGTTAGAGTAGGAACCGGAATGTAAGATTAGATAGGCCTCCACACTACAGCAGAGCATTTTGGCTTTCTCTGAAGAAGGCAACACACATTTTGACCAGACATGCTTCAAAATATGGCTTATTGTTGAAAAGAATATACTGGTTGCTTTAAATAAAGTACTTGAAGGAGATAAATAGAAGCAGGGCCATCAGTTCAGATGCCACTGCAATAAACTTGAACCCAGCAGTAAGCAATAGAGCTAATAATAATTCAAAGACTTAGGATACATTTGGAGCAGAGATTTCAAAGGCCTTAATGTATTGGGTTGTGGGAGTGAAAAGAAAGCTCAAAGAATTTTGCATCTAAGTATCTGGAAGCATGATGTTGCCATGAAGAATCAGGGGAAAGTAAATTAGGATAGTTAAAAGAATCATGAATGTGTGTTAAATTCAGACTTCAAACTGGAATTGTAGATGAAGGAACTGAGTATAAGTATAGAACTGAGGGCTAGTACTGACGGGAGTCCTCAATGTATAGGCAGCAAAAGAGATAGAAGTGAAGCGCAGACAGCATCAGAATAATCAGCTCCTATCCTCTCACAGGACAGACCTTGGGCCACATTTCCACAACTCCAAGACTTTCATGGAATTTATTATCATCATTATAACTGTTGTTATTACTATTATCCATACATTATGACAGTGAAACAGGTATATATTTTGAATGCTCTGAAGGATTGAGAAAATGAGGTAAAACCATTGAGAGTTCACAATAATAGTGACTATTTTAAGCACAATGATAAATCCATAGGTCATTAAAAAAACACGAGATAGACATTGTCACCATTTGTTAAAGGAAAATTTTTAAAGGGCAACTACAGATGAGAGCCACATATAAAACTAGGTTTGTGAAACTTCAAAAATCTTCATTATTTTCTACGTGAGTACAGTATGCACATTTATTTTATTTTATTAAGAGTAGGAAAAGTTGGCTGAGGGAAAAAAGCTTCTATCTAAGAGTGACAGAAGGGCAGCCCAGCTGTTTTCACCTCAGGTGATGCAACAGATTGTAGGCAGACAGGTTTGTTGCCTTTTGTCTTCTTTCCTCCTAAAACAATGTTGGCTGTACCATCTTAACTCTGCTATGGGTTTTTTTTTTTTTTTTTTTTTT